TTCTTTTTTTATTTCTTCCTCAACCCAGGAATGGTGCAATTGGGTGTTCCAAGAGTATTCTGCCAAGAGTATTCCAAGGTTTTCTGCCATTCGTAGTGCTGTTGAATTCTAGCTTTAATGCATGGTGATCTGATAAGCAAATGTGGGTGCTTTCGTATTAGGGGCATAGATGTTCAGGATTGAGACTTCATCTTGATGGACTTTTCCTGTGATGAGTATGAAATGCCCTTCTTCATCTCTTTTGATTGCTTTCAGTTTAAATTCTATTAGTTATACTCACGTCTTTAGTTCCTGATCGTTTATCCAGTCTCTCCATTTCCAGCATTGCTTCATTCTGTGTTTTCTTTATTGTGTCTATTTCAGCTTTCATGCTTTGAACTGTTTCAAGAGCTTCCTTCACTTGTTTGGTTGTTTTTTCTTGGGTTTCTTTAGATTCTTTAAGAGATTTGTTTATTTCTTGAATTTTTTGGTTTGTCTTTTCCTCCATTTCATGTAATTTTTTGCTCGCTTTTTCTTCTATTTCTTTAAGGGATTTTCTTGTTTCCTCTTTAAAGGTCTCTATCATCTTGCTGAGATAATTTTTGAGGCCCATCTCTTCTTCATGCACTGTGTTGGGCTTTTCAGATCTTGCTGGAGTGGAGTCCCTAGATTCTGGTGGTGTCATATTGGTCTTTCTGTTGTTGAGTGAGTTCTTATTCTGTCTTCTTCCCATATCTTCTTCCAGTGAGTGCAGGAGGGGGTCTCTCTATCTCCTCTTGTTACTCAGTGGTGTGTGGGGGCCAGGAATTCAACGTGCACAGCTCTGGATGGTCTTGCCTTTCCTGGTAGTCTCCTCACTCTGAAGGAGTTAGGCCTCCGTAGGGGTCAGGTGTGTGTGTGGGGGAACAGGAAGGAAGAGTGGGGGGTTTCCAGGCTCAGGGAGTTCCTCACTGCCTGGGCAGGTCTACCCCGAGCAGGAGCAGGCCTGGGGAGATCGGGGTGGATGGGGCTTTGGAAGGGAATTGGGTAAGAGCAGAGGATCACTCACCTCGTTTCGGATCGGATCAGTCGGAAGAAAGGGAAGGTAGAGTGGCCTGTTCCCAGATTCAGGGAGCTCCTCCCTGCCTGGGCATGTCTATTCCAAGCAGGCACAAGCCCGGTGAGATCTGGGTGAATAACGCTTTGGACAGGAGTTGGGTAAGAGCAGGGGGGGAGGGTCACTCACCTCGTTTCGGATTGGTCGGCGGAAAGGGAAGGAATGCTTTTTTTTTTTAATCATCTTGTGTCTATTGTCTTGTGTCAGGGTTGGGGAGATGGCTCAATGGTGAAGAACACTTGTTGCTCTTAAAGAGGATCTGGGTTCAATTCCCAGTATCCACATGATGGTTCACAATCATCTGTAACTCCAGTTTCAGGGGATCCAATGCCCTCTTCAGACCTCTGGACACCAAAACTCATGTGGTACATATACATACATTCAGGTAGAAACACACCTAAAAATAAATCTAACAAAAAATTAAATCTTAAAAAAAAGCACATATTGCTCTGCCAGAGGACCAGAGTTGAATTCCACATGCAACTGTCTGTACCTCTAGCTCCAGGGACTTTACACCTATTCTGTACTCTTCAGGCACCTGCACTCACGTGTGCGTATACACCTCGCCCTCGTATATATCGTGTGTGTGTGTGTGTGTGTGTGTGTGTGTGTGTGTGTGTGTGTGTATACATGTATGTGTATAATTAAAAAAAACTTGGCGTTGTGGTGCACACCTTTAATCCCCCAGCACTTGGGAGACAGGTTCAGGCAGATCCCTGTGAGTTCAAGGACAGCCTAGTCTACAGCAAGTTCCAGGCCAGCCAGAGCTACACATTGAGACTCTATCTCAAGCAAAGCAAAACAAATAACAACAACAAAACATTTCTGCTGTTCAAGAAAAAGAAAGACATGTGGGAGGTGGCTGAAAGGCAGGATTGACAGTCAGCCCTGGGCTCCTGTGCACTTGCTCCTCCCAGTTGTTGTGGAATGCATTTTGATCTTTCCTCAATCCTCACGGGCTGTAGTGGCCCTGATCACCACAGCTGACAGAAATACCACACACACTGTAGTAATGTTTGTTTTAATTACACTGCATTGCAGAGAAATATGAAAAACCCAAAGATGAACAGAAAGAAAAACTCAACATGTGGGTGAACAACCTCTACGTCTTCTTTGTGAATGTGCTCTTCAGCGCCTACAAACGTGAGGAGATGCTCAAGGAGAAAATTAAGCAGAACAGGCTTGAGGAAGCAGCACTAGCTCATCAAAGGCAGATAGAGAATGAAGAGCTGGAAGCCAGGTAGGACAGGGTCCCCACTTGTCCTCCATAGTACGTGCTCAGCTTTCTTTCCTGTTTTTAGGAACTACCCAAAGCAGAAGGTAAGACCCTGGGCTTACAGTGAAGGACACAATGATGCCCTAAGACTAGTGAAGCATACAATGATGCACAGGAACACAGACTTACAGTGAAGTATACAATGATGCCCAGGAACACAGGCTTACAGTGAAGTATAAAATATCTAGGAGCATGGGCTTTACAGTGAAGCATACAATTATGTGTGTTGTTTTTGCTCTTTTTATTCTTTTTGGCTTTTTGAGGGTCCCACCACCCAGCTCCCAAATAAATTACACACAGAGGCTTATTTTTTGTTATGAATGCATGACCTTAGCTTGGCTTGTTTCTTGCCAACTTTTCTTAAATTATCCCATCCATCTTTGGCCTTGGGGCTTTATATCTTTCTTTATACCTGTATATCTTTTCTTTCCTTCCTACTCCATGTCTGGCTGGGTGGTTGGGTGCCTGGCCCCTGATCCTCTTCCTTCCTCTCTCATTCCCAGATCCTAGATCTTCTCTCTACCAGATTTCTCCTCATTTTTATCCCCTCTGCCTGCCAGTGCCGACTAGCCTTGCTCCTGCCTAGCTATTGGACATTCAGCTCTTTATTAGACCATCAAGTGTTTTAGACAGGCACAGGAACACAGCTTCACAGAATTAAACAAACACAGCATAAACAAAAGTCACATACCTTAAAATAATATTTCCTAACATGCAATGCCCTAGTCTCTAAGGGCACAAAAGAGAAAAACCTGAGGGCTAGAGATGTAGCTCTGTGGTAGATGCTTGCCTAATACATGTGAGGCTTGGGTTTGCTCCCTAGCACTGGGACAAGATTTTTTAAAAAAGGGTTCTGCTTTTCCCAGAGCTTCCAAAGCTTTTGTGTATTTTTCAACTGGGTATGATGAAGCCTACAAGCTCAGCACTCGGGACAGAAGATGACCTCACCAGGCTACTTTCTAGCTACTTAGCAGTAGAGAAAAGTGTCCCCAGGTCACATTATCAACATGAAAGTATTACCTGGAGCACTCTAAATACAATAGACCATTTTATTCACAAGCACTGCTGAAACAGCATAAAAACTGGTTTTATGGCTGTTGTGCCCAAGTCATAAGGATCCCCAAAGAGACCAGGGAGACCAACCACCGATGCAAATGCACAAAATTTATTAATTCTTTTATCCTACTGCGGGAGGGATCCCGTCTAGCAAACTGACACAGCAGCCTCAGAGGGGGTGAAGTTCCCTGTCTACTGCTAGGTTTTAAAGACAAAAGTTACAGGATTACATCAGTAGGTATGGGTTGATTTCTGATTGGTTGACATTTGGGAACAATCAAAGTCATATTTTGGCATGAAATACCTGTGTACCAATTATTTTCATTGGTCAGTGTTGAGAGGGAACATTCTGTGGTTTCTATGGCTTTGTCTTGTTACTTGCAGGTGGCCTGTTTTTCATGGATACCAGTAGTTTTCAGAACTATATCCTGCAGGCTATAGGGGAGGTTTTGGTCTCCCCTGGAGTTTCTTTTGTGGCCAAACAGTTCCCAGGAACCAAGTACCTAGGAGGCTGGGGGTGGGGAGTGTCTGAAGTTTAGTTTTGGCCCTAGGCTCTGGAAGGCCAGAGGATCTGGAGTTTCCTGGAGTTACAGGCCTACGTGTCTTTTCTGTAGCCTATCATGGGTTCTAAAGCAGTGGCTGAGTGAGGGTCTGGTCCCTTCATTCCTAGAAGTGAAGCCTTTTAGTTTAGTTTACGCCTTTTAATGGCTAGCTAGATAAGGGTGTGTGTTGTTCTTCCAGAAGACCTGAGTTTAATTCCCAGCACCCATGTCAGGGAACCAAACATCTGGATTCCAAGGGCATCTGCACTCATGTACACATAACCTCCCACCCTGTGCATACAAATAAACATAGTTTTTGCTTATTTCTTGAGACAGTCTCACTGTGTAGCTCTCTGGATGACCTGGAACTCACTATGTAGACCAGGCTGGCCTTAAACTCAGAGGGATATACCTGCCTCTGCCTCCCAAGTGTTGGGATTAAAGGTGTGCACTGCCACACCCAGCTACCACATACTTTTTTTTGAGAAATAAAATAAATATTTAAAACTGATTTCAAATTTTTATAGAAAAAAATAGCGAAGTTCTCATTTTGACTTTTAGGCTGAACATCCTACGGGAAGAAGAGGCCAAGAGACAAGACTTCGATGTTGACATCACTGTGCTCAAGGAGCCATTGGAGGCTCCATCCTCCCACCCACTCACACCCAGCCCTCCTAAAGAAGAGTTGACTTCCCAGACCAGCAGGACCAGCCCTGGCAAGAAGAAGAAGAGGTGAAGGTACTGTGTGTCATGGCTGAGCTGCAAAGACAGGTAGACATAAAAGCTGTGACAAATGTCCCATAAAATAAAGGGTTTGCACTTAGTTTCTGATTTGAGTTTCTAAGATGCTCTATCTTGGTCCATGTATTAAGTTTCTTATATAGCTGCATTTGCAAAAACCAAACTGAATAAGTATGTAGACATGCACATATCAGTAAATGTGTATTAAATATATTCTTGTAAATCATTATTACCTGGGCATAGTGGCTCCTCCTAGCACTTGGGAGATACAGCCAGACTACATAGTGAAACTCCATCTCAAAACAAAACAAAAGAAGGGTTAGAGAGCTAGCTCAGTGCTTAAGAGCATTTGCTGCTTTTGCAAAGGATCCAAGTTTGGTTCCCACCATTCACACTGGGGCAGCCCACAATAGTATGTAATTGCAGCTCTAGGGGATCTGGCACTGCCTTCTGGACTTTATAGATGCAAGTAACATGTACACATAAAAATAATAAATAAATTATTAATTAAAAAACCAAGGTGGAGAGTGATAGAAGAAGACGTTCAAGCTCTACCTCTGGCTTCCATGTGAACATGGATAAGCACACCCATACACATATAGACACATGCATACATACCTCACTCATGTGCACAGACATACACCCATGCACCATAAGCACACACATACTAAGATGGAGAGCAATATAGGAAGACATTAATGTTGACCTCTGATCTTCATACTCATATACTCATATGTGCTTTGCACACCTGTACACATTATCTGCTTAAACATAAATACATACACATGATTATAATACACACACACACACCCCAAATTAAGACAATGGCAAAGGAGTCGAGACCCATAGGAAGTGTAACACTTTTGAATCTACGTATTAGTCCTGCAAAGCTGACAGAGTCCCAGGTAAGGATTACCATCTTGACCAGAGAAACAAAAGATCTGAAAATAGTGAAATAATAAAACAACTCAACTAAAAGTTTGAATTGGCACACAGACTCTGGAGCCAGAATGCAACAGAGAATAAATGGTGACTGAAATAAACACATGCAATTCCAAATAACACATCTCAGACAACCACCATCTCACTGAGATGCAACCACAATCCCTTCAGGGAACACATACAGAAAAGCCCAATGTGGTGGGGAACTAAAAACCAGTCTTAAGTTATGCATGGGCAGAGAAAAAAATCATAATGGAAATTGTGGTTATTTTGAGCCAAGGCACAATGAAGCCAATACAAATTGATGAAGCTGCTTCCTGATCCCTAATGCAGTAGATTCATGGAGGTTATGACAAGCAGATTGCAGAGTTGCTTTGGGGGCTAGGGAATAGTGTGTTTGCAGCTGTCCAGATCACCAAAATAGGGTTACATAAAATTCAGCCATATTTCACCTCAGCTGTGAAGAGATACAGGGTGCCATAAGCCTTAGGAGGGCCTCCTGACAAAGAGGAACAATTTCTGTTAGATCACTCTAACACCTCACTGTTCTCCCCTGTGAATAGGCAGACCCCAACTCTGAGCATCCCACATTGTCAGAATGCTGTTAGTTTTTTTTTTTTTTTAAAGATATTTATTTATTTATTTTGGTTTGTCGAGACAGGGTTTCTCTGTGTAGCTTTGGAGCCTATCCTGGCAATCGCTCTGGAGACCAGGCTGTCCTCGAACTCACAGAGATCTGCCTGTCACTGCCTCCCGAGTGTTAGGATTAAAGGTGTGCGCCACCAATGCCCAGCAAGATTTTTATTTTTAATTGTATATATGCATGTGTATACATGTGAGTACAGGTACCCAAGGAGACCAAAAGAGTAGAGCAGTGGTTCTCAACCTGTGAGTGGAACGACCTTTTCACAGGGGTTGCATGTCAGATATCCTGCATATAAATATTTACAATACATAACAGCAAAATTACAGTTATGAAGCAGCAACAAAAATAACTTTATGGTTGGGGTCACCACAATATGAGGCACTGTACACAGTGTTAGGAAGGTTGAGAACCACTGTCCTAGAGCTTAGCTTGAGTTATAGGAAGTTATGAGTCACCCAAGTCAGTGCTGAGAACTGAACCTCAGTCTTCTGAAAGAGCAGCCAGTGCTCTTAACAGCTGGGCTGTGTCTCCAGCCTGACCATGAATTTTGAACCCCACTGGCTAGTGCAGCCAAACAACCAGCAACAGAAGACTCAACAGGAAATCAGAATTCTTAAAAACTTTAACAATTTATTAGTCTTATTTCCCAGTAAAATACCCACATAATGTCAGAAGAATGGAATGATATTAAGCTGACTACCTTTAATTCCACATAAATATTTAGCATCTAAAAACCTCAGGGACTCATCAGACCAAGTAGAAATTTGATTTTTTCAAAGCAGGTATTGCTTTACTATTGTCACTAATCCAGTCAATGTCATGACCAGTTAAGTTGTAATGGTAAACAAAAAGTTTGCTGAGGTTTTAAAAGAGGTTCTGGAGAGCCATTGGAGTCAATCCAAGAAGAAGATATTATTGAACTGTGTGGCGCAGAGTTTTTTCACCTCTTCTGCAGAAAGAACAGAAAACAATGTGTCAAGGAAACAGCTTCTTTCCTTACAGATTAGATGTTTGATAAATACTTCAGTTCTTTGGGGATAAAAGTTAGGAAATAAGTAAGTCTGTATTAATTGACTTTAAATTCCAGACGCATAAGCAACAATAACAACAACAAAAAATAACCAACAGAGAAGGCAATTGGGGAAATGAGTAACAAACTCCTGAGACCTTGTTTCCTAACACACTAGAAATATCTCTTTTGGGGGTCTGAAAGACCTGGTTTGAGGAGTGCCTGAGATACTCATAGGTCAGGGCATTAAAAGTGTGCCACTCTTCAGAAGCTGATGGGGTGCACCAAAACTCTGGCTACAATCTTGAGATGTCAATCAATCAAGTATTTCACAGAGATAATGGCCCTCACTTTACTACACTCCCACTGCATTTTCACTTCTGTGGTACTAAGTAGCCCCGAGCCTTGAGTTTGCTACACAAATGCTGTGCCATTGAAATACATGCCCACTCCACTAAATTCCTATTTTTATTTCAGGCATGCACTAACTGATGCTTTTCATGTACACAAATATTAATACAAAGTAGATATAAAATGTTGTAAGGCACATACATGCAAGCACATCCACACACAAATTAAATACATGCATGGATGTGGGCATGGACATGCATGTGTGTGCTATGGCACATGTGTGGAGGTCAGAGGACAACTTGTGTGTCTCAGGGATCAAACTTATGTCATCAATCTTGGCAGCATGTTCCTGTATCCACTAAGCCATTTCACAGGTCCTGTTTACTTTTACTGAGACAGGGTCACATGTAGCCCAGGCTGGCCTCAAACTCACTATGTAGCTGAGGATGGTATTGAACTCCTGATCCTTCTGCCTCAATTCCCCCTGCCCCCCAGCCCCAAGTACTGGAATTACAGGTGTGCACCATGTGCAGGTTCTATAATGTTTCTTAACACAGGGAAAAAATCATTTTGAAATATCAGTGCATTAAAATTGAAATACCAAATCCTATTTACCATTGACTTCGATCAGGTTTGCATTTTTTTGATTCAGAATCACATACAGCTCCCGCTGATCAGACTTCTTCCCAACAACCCAGTAATCGCTCATGGCTTTCACAATGATTTCTTCATCTTCATCCGCTCTGTAAGAAAGTTTCAGATGGGATAGTTTCATATACACAGCTCGTCTGTGAGGAGAAAAAGAATTCAAAACAAGAAACAGCACTAAACTGTCCTTATTAATAGTCAAGGAGTTACGTGTGAATGAAAGGCAACTTGGGGGGGCTGGAGAGATGGCTCAGAGGTTAAAAGCACTGACTGCTTTTCCAGAGGTCCTTGGTTCAATTCCCAGCAACCACATGGGGGATCACAACCATCCGTTATGAGATCTGGTACCCTCTTTTGATGTGCAGATATACATGGAAGCAGAATGTTGTATACATAATAAATAAATAAAATCTTAAAAAAAAACAACCCCCAAATTCTCAGCAACATAAAAAAATTAAAAAAAGAAATGTACAAAGGTTCATTTCCATGATTATGCCAAGTCCTGTCAAGTGAACAATTAAAAAAAAAAAAGGCAACTTGGTGTGATGTGGGCATAGCACCCATGAGTGGGTTGAACCTGGGCCCTTTTCAGGTGCTCTGCGTCACTTGGTTTAAAGGAAAGTAATCAGCTGGGCATGTTGGCATATAATCCAAGCACTGGTAAGGCTGAAGCAGGGGAATTTTGAATACCACCTAGGCTATAGAATGAAACTTACAAACAAACAAATAAAAATAAATACAATTCCTTTAAAATCTATTCTCAGAAAGACAACACCTACTTTGAGAAGCTGCTAGAATTACCTGGTAAAGTCACTGTTGATGTCACCTAGAATCTTCATTAGATCTGGATGGACAGATGTGAGTGACACACTGGGTGTTTTCCTCATGTGAATTGTACTTTTCTCTGCTAAATTCATGTGGTTGAAGTAGATGAACTTAAACTGGGGTTCTTTTTCAGACCTGTCCAAACAGGACATTGAGACGGTAACAATGCGAAAAAATAATTAATTACCCAAACTGCACAGCCACAGTGTGAAAACTTTAAAAGTATAGAATACATGTGACCTTGTCTCAACAAATAAACAAAACCCGAGAGAACCCCTTGAACACAAAATTCATGAACTAAAACTGTATGGCAGGACTGGCATGGTGACTCAGAAGGGAAAGGTGCTTGCCACCAAGCCTGGAGTCTGAGTTGGAACCCAGAACCCACATAATGGGAGGAGAAAACCGACTCCTGCAAACCATGCTCTGACCTAGACACACATACAATAAACAAATATAATTAAACCACTATATAAAGGTCTTTCATGCCAGGCGTTGGTGGCGCACGCCTTTAATCCCAGCACTCGGGAAGCAGAAACAGGCAGATCTCTGTGAGTTCAAGACCACCCTGGTCTACAAGAGCTAGTTCCACGACAGCCTCCAAAGCCACAGAGAAACCCTATCTCGAAAAACCAAAATAAATAAATAAAATAAAATAAAATAAAATAAAAATAAATAAAGGCCTTTCATTTTCTATGCCTGGGTGCTCAAATCAAGAATTTCAGTTGGTGGGGTCTGGAGAGATGCTCTTCCAGAGGTACTGAGTTCAATTCCCACCAACCACATGATGGCTCACAGCTATCTATAGTGGGATCTGATGCCCTCTTCTGGCCTGCGGGTATATATGCAGCTAGAGCACCATATACATAATGAAAAACCAAATTAAAAAATTTAAACTTAAGGGCTGGAGAAATGGCTCAGGGGTTAAGAGCACTGACTGTTCTTCCAGAGGTCCTGAGTTCAATTCCCAGCAACCACATGTTGGCTCACAACCATCTGTAATGGGATCTGGTGCCTTCTTCTGGCCTGCACTGTATACATGATAAATAAATAAATGTTAAAAAAATTTAAACTTAAAAATAATTAAAATTAAAGATTCTGTAACCAATGCTTCATCCAACAATAATAACATGTAATATATAATATGATAGAATTTTTCAGAGAGCTGTTCTACTTCTTTAACAAAAGTATTTTCCCTGCTATGTGATTTTCTAAATGAAAGTATATTGTCCTTGAAGTCTGACTTACTACCACCTGTTCTGTCACAGAAAGAACTGATCTCTGCTGACCCTGATTTAGCTGAATAACAGTGCTGGGAATGAATGTGTGTTCCATGTTAGCCATGGGACTGCAGCTCACTGTGTAAGGAAAACTTTCCACTATCCCCAGTGAAAGCTATGTTAAGCTGCAACAGCCTCTACCACTGAAGTAAAATGAAATTCAAATGGGGACATACCTTTTCCTTTCCTACATCACAGATGGGACTGAACAGCATATCACTGCTTTCTAGATCCTGAGGAAATGCTGCAGTGTTAACACTGCCCACACTCTTCAGTGAAAGCAACTGCCACTTGAGCAGAGCAGTTAGTGTATGAGAGTAAACATGAGGCAGATACAAACCCAGATATTCTCTTGTTGATATTAAACTGCTCACAGATGTCAGATGCCAGCACTGTAAGCTGGGGCCCAACGATGCTGTCCAATCTTCGGCAAAAATCCAGCGTCAGCTGCGTGGAGGCTGGCAGGAATTTAAGGAATAGCACTCAGCTTTACAGTACTTTGTATCCAACAGTTCCTACTCATTTTACTGTTCAATACTTGACAGTATTCCAATGAAAAATGTACTGATTAACTAAATGAAATAAAGACAATTAGGGAATAAAAGACAGTCAGATGCCCCTTTCTCACAAACTGAACAGAAGTAGAAAAGTTAGATTTGGAACATACCTCGTTTAATCCTGAGTCGTTAGAGGGCAGGCACCACCACCACCCACCAGTCAGTAAACACAGAGAGGCAGTGAGAAGGACTTTAAATGTAACAGGGATCAATGAAGGTGGCAGAGGTTCCAAATGAGGAGCAGTGATTAAGACAGCCTCTCCATGGCTGGTGACAACACACTGATCATTTAAGGACAGAACCCAGCAAGCTACAAAGAGCTGACCCAGTCAGGCTGCAAGCAGACCCACGAGGGCACCTACCATCAATCATAAAGCACACAGCTGCACTCATGGCCTGTGGGGAGACAAACCAGAAATTACAACTGGCACAGAGAGGAGCAGGGGAGTACTGTAAGCAAATGTGGTGAACTTGACTTGATTTCAACAAATCAACTGTAAGAAGATACGCTCTCTCAGCTGAGCAGTCTGGAGGCAGACAGTACAGAAGCTGATATGAAGGAGGGGGCTTATTTGGTATGACATGGTGCTTATGCTACAGTGCATGGCCTCATCAGTCAGGGACAAGAAGGATTTACAAATGAAGCAGCATCATTTAGAATGCTCTCAAAACAAAACAATACAATGGACAGACAAAAAACTGGCATCTGAAGCCGGGCATGGTGGCTCAAGCCTTTAATCCCAGCACTGGGGAGGCAGAAGCAGGTGGGATCTGAGTTCGAAACCAGCCTGCTCTACAGAGAGGGTTCCAGGACAACGAGGGCTACACAGAGAAACACTATCTCAGAAAACAAACAAACACAACAACAACAACAATAATGTTTGGCATTGGATTAATTCAGCTTTGATGGATGCCTGGGATTTCACTGTTCTAGTCTCTCTGTGTACACTTGAAAATTTCCTTAAAAAAAAAACAAAAACAAAACTTAAAAGAGACTACATGTTGCTACGATCTTGCCTCCTTTTATTCTAGCAGATAATTACAGTTATGACATTAGCAAGTAACAGCAAACAAGACCATAAATAAAACTAAAATTGCCAAGTGTGGCGGTACACACTTGTAATACCAGTACTCCGGAGATAGAGGCAGGAGGATCAGGAATTCAAGAGCAGTCTCAGTTACACAGCAAATTCAAGGTCAGCCTGAGCTACATGAGACCATGTCTAAACCAGGTAGGGGCTGAAGAGATGGCTTGCACAGGACCTGACTTAGTTCCTAGCACCCAAGTTGGGCAGTTCACAAAACTCCAGGCACAAGGGGAATCTGGTAGCCCTGCCTCTAAAGGCAGCTGCACTCACGTGCACATACCCACACAAACACAGTGTTACAAAAGCTTTCATGTGAGCACTGACAGTCTTTCTAACTACAGATGAATTAAAGTGAAGAAAAAGCTATAATTGGTAACCTAAGATCACATCTAAAGATACTAAAAAAAAAGAGTAAACTGAACCTGAAATGAACAGAAGGGAAGGGGTCACAATGATCAAAGCAGAAATGACTCCACCAGGGAAGAAGAGAGACAACACAAGAAACCAGCACTGGTTCCTTGGAAAAAACAACACAAAATTGCAAACCCTCTTTACACTAGAATCAAAAATCGAGGGAGAACTTCAGGTACCACAATCAGCAATCAAAGGGAGACTTCACTATGGACTCTACAGGAAAAGGAGGAAAAAACAACACATAAGTACTGTGAAAATCTGTATGCCAACAAATTAATTAACTTAATGGAATGCATAAATGCCTGAGAAAGACATAAACTACTGAAACTGCCTGAAGAAGAAATAGAACAAAATAAGCTGACAACAAGAAACTCATAATTCAAAAATGAAGAGTCAGGTGCACACCTTTAATCCCAGCACTTGGGAGGCAGAGGCAGAGGCAGGCAGATCTCTGTGAGTAAAGTCCAGTTTGGTCTACAGAGTAAGTTCCAGGACATACAGAGCTGTACCAAAGAACTAAAATAAAAATTAAAAAAAAAAAAAAACTCACACAGAAACACCCATGTACAGAGAGCTCTACTGGGAATTCCACCAATCCTGCAAAAGTCTTCCAAAAAAAGAGAATACTTCTCAAATCATCCCATTATCTTCATATCTACACCAGACAAAGGAATCTCAACAAAAAAGCCAAGGGCTGGACTGGAGAGATGGCTCAGTGGTTAAGAGCACTGCTTGTTCTTCCAAAGGTCCCGAGTTCAATTCCCAGCAACCACATGGTGGCTCACAACTATCTGTAATGAGATCTGGTGCCCTCCTCTGGCCTGTAGGCAGCAGGCAGAATACTGCACACATAATAAATAAATAAATCTAAAAAAAAAATAAAAACAAAAGCAAGAGCTATCCTTCCCAGTCTTCCAGAATCAGCCTGACAGATGCAGGACTGAGAAGGTCAAACATGTGGAGGCCAGCTAGGTCTCCATCACTAATTCCTGATAAGAGAAGGAAAAAAAAAAAAAACCCTGGAGTTCATGGTTTAGTTTTTCTTTTCAACTAAACTGGCAGCTAGCAAGGCCCAGTAACCCTCCTTTCTCAGAACTCCCCACTCCACTCCCCAGGGCTGGAGATTTGGGTGCATATGAGACTATTCCTGGCTTGTCACGTTGGTGCTGAGGCCCAAATCAGGTCCTCACTCTTGTGCAGAAGTGCTCTTAACCACTCTCAAGCTATGGGCTGATTCCCACCTCCGCTCATTCACTGTAACAACCTATACCTATGAACAGAAAGGCTTTTCAGGGTTCTGTTTTTCCCATGAACTTAAAAGTGATTTTGGAAACACCCCCAAAAAGCAGTTGGTGTCCAAGGTGAAGATAGTACTGGGGAGGGGGGTTCCTAAATGTTGCAACTAGATGCTACTGAATTGATCCTTGACTACCTTAAATGGGTGAATTACAACCCCAAAAGGCTATTAAAAAAAAAATAAGACTCTACATAACACATGCCAACATCACACCTTAAACTCTTATCTATAGACTGAGCCTAGAAGTGGAAATCCAGTTAACAATATTGCATCCAGTTCAGTGAGAGTTCAGACCCTTGTCCCTGAGCATGCAAAGGGTTCTAGCTTGAGAGACAACAGACCTTCCCTACTCCCAGTGCTGCTTTAATGTTTGCTTCATTCTTGCTCTGGGTCAGCCTCACTAGTGTGGATCCTGGGTGTTCTCCTGGTTTGCCTCCTCAGGCTGCTGCCACACAGCTATGCAGTATACTGAGAGGACAGAGGGTGCAGCGAAACACTACTAGGTTTGTCGGTTTCTTTGTCTCACTGTGATTGATGGTTTGGTTTAACAAAGAAATCTACAGTGAGGCTGGGCTGCTGCTCAGTGGTCGGGTACTTGTCTAAGAAGCATGAGACCCTTGATTTGCTATCTGACACCAAAACACTAAACATTATCGCTGTCGTCATCATTATCAACAACAACATCATCGTCTATACTAAAACCATTTTCTCTCACAACTTCCGAATATTTTGGGGAGACAGTGGACATTGAAACTAGGGCTTCCCACATGCCACACAAGTGCTTTACCTCTGAACTGTGCCCCCGGTTCTTCTCTCAGAACTCTGGAGGTCTTTCTCCCACTGTTGCATAGCACCTGGAGCTGAAGAGGAGTCTTTTACAGGTGAAAAACCTTAAGGACATTCTCTTCATATCTCTGAGACTGTTCAGTGTTGGATGCAGGTGAGGGTCTTCCTTACTCACTCTGGCAGACATTAAAGGGATCTTTCCAACCTAGAAACCCTCTGAATGAAGCATTTTCTCATTATAATTCCTGTACCATTCTCCTCTCCCTAAACTAATGGTGAATTATGGAATTATTCCCCCCACACACACTTTTTCAGTCTTCCATAATTTTAGGTGGTGTGGTATAGGGTGTGTTTAAGTAGCACCAGAGATGCAACCCAGGTGTGTGCTGGCTAGCTAGTTTTACATCAACTTGACACAAGCTAAAGTTATCTGAGAGGGAACCAGAATTTAGAAAATGCCTCTATAAGACTGACCCTTGGACAAGTCTTAATTAGTGACTGATGTGGGAGGGCCCAGGCCATTGTGGGTGGTGCTACCCTTGCAGTGGTTGTACTTGGTTCTATAAGAAAGCAGCCTCAGGCCATTTGGTGGTGGCTCATGCCTTTAATCCCAGCACTTGGGAAGCAGAAGCAGGTGGATCTTGAGGCCAGTCTGGTCTACAGAGTGAGTTCCACAGAGAAACCCTAAAAAAAAAAAAAAAAAAAAAAAAAAAAAAAGGAAAGGAAGGAAGGAGGAAGGGAGGGAGGAGAAAAGGGAAAAAGGGAAAAAGAATGGAAAAATGGAAAAGGGGGAAAAAGGGAAAAAAAGGAAAAAAAGGGAAAAGGGGGAAAAGGGAAAAAGGGAAAAGGAAAGGGAAAGGGAAAGAGAAAGGGAAAGGGAAAGGGAAGGAAGCATCCTGAGAAAAGTTGTGAGGAGCAAGCAAGTAAGCAGCACCCTTCCATGGCCTCAGCATCAGCTCCTGCTCTCACTTCTCTGGAAGGCTGACTGTGCTATAACTGTAAACTAAAATAAACCATTTCTGTAGAAACCCTAACTTACCTGGACTTTGTGCATGGTAGGCAAACAACACTGAGCTACTTCCTTCCATGACTGTATCTCGTATTATGTCACCCAGGATAGAACAACTTACCTTGACCCTTTTAATAAATTTCATCTATCAAAAGCTGTACTTTCAATGGGACTGGAGATGGCTCAGCAATTAAGAGCATTAGCTGCTCTTACAGAGCACTGGAATTCAGTTCCCAAAACTCTTGGGTGGCCTACAACTGCCTCTAACTCCAGCTCTAGGGATTCTGATGCCCTCCTATGGCCTCCACAGGTACTCTTGCATGTACACACACACACACACACACACACACACACACACACACACAAAGAGAGAGAAAGAGAGCGAGAGAGAGAGAGAGAGAGAGAGAGAGAGAGAGAGAGAGAGAGAGAGAGAGAGAGAGAGAGAGAAACTTTTTAAATAAAACTTTTAAAAACTATATTTTCAGGGTGGAGAAATGGAGAGTTACTGAATAAAGGATAAAGAGTTCTTGAAAGAGATGGTGTTAACAGTGTATATTTTATCACAATAAAAACAAAATTTTTTGAAGACAGGCTCTTACTATGTAGCTCTGGCTGGCTTGGAACTCAATATGTAGACCAGGTTGGCCTTGGACTCAAGAGATTCACCTGCCTCTGCCTCCCTAGTGCTGGGATCAAAGGCTTGCACCACCACATCCAGTCACAATAAAAAAAAAATTAAGTAATATTTTCAATTAAATTGTGATTATTATAATGTGGTTTTTTGGATTTTTTTTGGAGAGGGGAGGTGAACAGTACTCCCACTCTAAATGCTAAGCTGACCTCGAACTTAAGACCTTCCTGCTCAGCCTCCTGAGTGCTCTAGTTATAGTCATGAGCCATTACACTGAGCTGCTTGGACCCTTTCATATCATCCTGCTTCACCTTAATGCACACAATGTCTCTAATCAATGTATGATAATAGGGCATCAGACCCCCCTGGAGCTGGAGTTACACACTGCTGTGAGCTGCCCAACCTAGGTGCTGGAAGCCACACTCAGGTCCTCTGAGTCACTCTTCAGCTTCATGTGGACTAATTTTTTAAAATCCTCATGTATCCCCAGAATCAGTTTTCCCCTTTTAGAGTTTGTATCGGTTTTTAGTTTCTGGTTTTTGTCATACTTAAGCATAAGAGAACCCAAAGCTGCTGAGGGGTGGTGGCTTTATATGTGGTACAGGATGACAGAGGCAGCCACGTCAGGCAGATGGAACTCCAGGGAAAGTTGGCTGCTTCACAGGCACAGACTCTCACATCACCAGTCTTGGTCTCTATGCCGTCAGTTCTTTCCTTTAAACACTCTCAGCTTCAGGCCTGTCTGTGTGGAACAGGGAGGGCTACTGGCTTAGAGACAACACCCCTTATTCTTCTTTCCAAGCAAGCCCACATCCCACACCTGGTTTATGCTGGCCACTGCTGAGTTGGGGGTTTCTGTGTGCTCTGAAAACAGGTGGTTGCCTGCCTCAGCCCTGTCTCGAGGCCTTACCTGGAACCTTCTCTACTCTCAGAATTCTCTCAGGCATTGCTTTTGTTGTTGTTCTTTTTTGAGACAGGGTTTCTCTGTGTAACAGTTCTGGCTATTCTGGAACTCATTCTGTAGATCAGGCTGGCCTTGAACTCACAGAGCTCCACCTGCCTCTGCCTTCCAAATGCTGGGATTAAAGGGTACCCCACCACCTGGCTCAAGCATTGCCTTTAATTTTTCCATTATCCAGACAATGAAAGGATTCCCTCAAACTATGTCATCCTTTCTTCCCTGTTTTCCTGGGACATAACTTCTAAGCATTTGAATTAAAATGTATCTGTAGTTTCAGGTATGAAAGAAGATAAACTTGTGATCAGTTTTCTTTCTTGTACTAAAACTGACTAAGAAGGAAGGGAGGGAGGGAGGGAGGGAAGGATGGAGGGAGAGAGGGAGGGAGGGTGGATACAGGGAGAAACAGCCAGGCACGGTGGCATACACCTGCAGTCCCAGCTTGAGCCCAGGAGTTGAAGACCAGACTGGGTAAACAATGAAGCGTCATTCCAAAATGAAAAGAAAACTCCGCCTAACATACACACATATTCTCACAAGGAAATATCATGAAACAAAATACTGTCCTTACAATTAGTCAGTCTAAAACTTTATAGAGTTCAGTGCAAAAGCAGAATTCATGGCCTCAGCAAACAGATGGGAGGCATTTGTGCACATGGGCACCACCTCTCACAGCCTTTGGTCTGTGGGTATTCGGGACTTGGAATACTTGAATATCCCGCCTTAGCCAGTAATTCTTTCATTAGTAGCATTGCCTAAAAGGTTAAAAACAAACTTCCTACTGCAGAAGAGCACCCATTTTGAGTTTTACAGAAGTTAGAGTTTGCAACACCTTTTCCAAGAAGCATCACAGAGGTTTGAACTGGTGCTGGTCTACACATGCAAAGGAGGTTTGCTTTAGTATTCATCTGAAACACTGGAGGGAAAACAATTGTTACCTTATAAACAATTAAATGGAGCTCTTCATAAGTGTCATCTGTATTTACAAAAATTTTGGGGAATCTGCATTTTGCTTCTGGATCATTAAGGTTCAAGGGTCCAGTAAGAAATCTTAAAAGTAAACACAGAGATGACTCAACTCAATGAGGTAAATTATAAACATAACATAAATAGAACACATTCCTAGTCAATGGATATCAATGTTTTGTTGATGCTAGATGCAGGTTGGTAAACACCAAATCAGAATACAATAGGGAAACAGTTTAATGTCACTGGAAACAACAGGATTTCCTTTCTGGATTATTGCTGGTAGGGCGATTCAATGTTTATGATTTTATCTTTACCAGAAGAAATAATGAAACCCAATACAGTAAACCAAACAATAAAAGTCCTACCTTCCATAGTGTTGAAGATTACCTGGCATTTCTGCCCTTATTGGGGAATCCCTTCCTGCCAACTGCAAACACAACAAATGTTGAGAACAATTAATTTTTTTTTTACTTTCACAGTTTGACAAACAGTATTCCTGCCTGCTAGTTGGTCTCATGCCATTTTGCTATATCACTTTCCTGTATTCCTCTCCACTCAGGAAAAAAAAAAAAGAAAAAACATACTTAAATGTACGTGTACACCCATAGAACTGTGCTACTCTCAATCTTGGCCAGAGTTTGTTTGTTTGTTTGTTTCATTTTTTTACAGTGTTGGTGGTTAATACAGGGACATGATAACTAACTGGTCAAAGTGCTGGGAATGAATGGCTGAGTGGTCACCTATCATCAATCAGCCTTCCCTCTGCCACCTCCATCTAAGGCTCAGGGAACCCCGAGGAAGAGAGGATAAGCAATGTGGGAGATGGGAGATGGCAAGGAGAGAAGTGTTAGTAATAATACAATAATGAAAACAGAACATGAAGCCAGGTGGTGGTGCACATCTTTAATCCCAGCACTTGGGAGGCAGAGGCAGGAAGATCTCTGAGTTCAAGGCCAGCCTGGTCTACAAAGAGAGTTCCAGGACAGGCTCCAAAACCACAGAGAAACCCTGTCTTGAAAAAACAACAACACCACCACCAAAAAAGAACATGAAGCCAGGAGGAAACAGTTTGGGGGTCCTGTGGGAAGCTGAAAAAGAAGCAGTGGTGGCGGATGTGATTAATATACATACTGTATGTACACAACATGTCTGAAATTTTAAAAGAAAATACAGTAAAAACACTACAAAAGTATGTAAAGAACTAATTTTAACCAGAACAGTGATACTGTAACTCCATCTAAACCTAAATCCCACAAACTAATTTAGTTCTTTACTGAAATTTCCATGTGGCATCGGTTCTTACTATCTTTTCACACCACCCCATGAAGACTATCTTCTTTTCATTTTCTGCATGAGGGAACTCAAAGTTACAGAAATGCTCTCAAACATCCATGGCAGAAGTCAACACCAGGCTTGTCTGGAGTCAAAGTATGTGTCTTATCCACGACACTAAGTTTCCTCAAAGATCTGTACTTATCACGCTTTTATTTTGCTGAACAAATATAGCCTCAGGGGCTGGAGAGCTGGTCAGCAGTTAAGAGCACTGACTGCTCTCCAGAGGACCTGGGTTTGACTCTCAGCATCCATGCGGAGCAGCTCACAGCCATCTGTAACTTCATTCCCAGAGGAGCCAATATCCTTTTCTGGCCTCTCTAGGCACTGAACGCATGATATACAGACAAACATGCCAGCAAAATTCCCATACATATAAAACTAAATAGATTTTGAAGAATGTTTGATGTTCTTCTGGTTTTAACATATGTGGTAGTTTGAATGTAATTGGCCCCTATAAGCTCATAGGGAATGGCACTAATAGGAGGTGTGGCTTTGTTGGAGTAAGTTTGGCCTTGTTGAAGGAAGCGTGTCACTGAGGGGGTAGACTTTGAGGTCTCATATGCTCAAATTATACCCAGTGTCTCAATTTACTTCCTGTTGCCTGAGGATCAAAGATGTAGAACTGTCAGCTTCTTCTCTAGTACCATATCTGCCTGCATGCCACCATGTCCCACAATAATGATAAGGGACTAAACCTCTGAACCTGTAAGCTACCCTCAGTCATGGTGTCTCTTCGCAGCAATAGAGATCCTAACTAAGATGCTACAAGCCACAAGATCACACAGTAATTATACAGCTATCATTTCATGAGACAACTCAGAAGAATTAAGAATTCTTCTAATGGATAAAAACCAGTACAAAAGTTATATTTGGCATTATAGTCTTGTGAATAAAGTGACTGTGTCTTGCTGTAGATTCTTCCTATAGCTTATTCCTTTCTGCAACAAACTTGGGATTTACTTCCCACAGTTTAGCACCATTTGATCATTTACCGGGCACAATTTCTCCCATGCAGTTGGAGATTCCTTAGCTATGTGTGAGACCTGTCCCCCACTATCAGGTCCTTGCTCCCCTCTCCTATGTGACTGCAGAGATCTATCTTCCTACAATTATCTTTATTGACAGGCATTTGGTCAGTGTTGAGGGTCCAGGCAAAAGCATTCCATCTAAGACATTCCCAGATATCCAAGGACATAGAACTACTACACACCCAAAGTTGTTGATTCATAGCTGCCTAGATGGATAGAAAAGATAAGCAGCCTGGCTTTACCTCACTGGCAGATAGAGAAGCGATAGCCTAAACTAACCCTGCTCTAAAAGATTCTCAAACTTCTCTTTTTTTTTATTAACTCAAGATTTTAGCTCAGAGATTTACTGCTCCCTTGTATTTCCCCTGAGAAGATAAAGACAAAGTTAACCAGCCCATTTGCTCATCCTCAGGGAAAAGTAAACTTTCTGAAGGCCTGTGCCACCACTGAGGCCAGAGCACTGGAAGGCTCCAGGTTCTGTTTCTTGTGCAAATTAAACTTAGACCCTTTCCTTGACCTACAGCCATAAACAACTGGTGCTAAAAATTTCTCCTAGTAGTTGTAGTTTATTGCTCTTTGTGTGAATCTTATCTGCCTTGCTGACCCTGAGAAACTCAAGCCTCACATTGTATTGCAAAAAGAATTACTGTTGCAAATGTAGACACACCTGTACCCCCAAGAATTGGGAAGAAACAAAGAGAAACAGAACAGAGAAAAAAGAGAAAAAGAGCAGAAAAAAAATAAAGGAGCGTGCAGAGGAGCACTGTGTATGAGTCAATTCCTTTTTTCCTCAGATTTTAGTTCTTTTTTTGAACCCTGAGTGAAAATTTTAAAAGCAAGGCCTTTTAAAGTTTTCAATACTAAGACAACATATACCCTCAAAATATCCCCAATGCATAGTATACACCAAGTGGTGGAAATGCATGGCCCAATACTAATCTATGAGAGATGTTCTCATGGGTACGAATTCATAGTGCCATGCTGTGTTGTAGCTTTCCCCATTACACACATTGTTCTTCAGACATGCAATCAATCAAGTATTGGATAGTCTTCTGTTGTGGCACCATGCTATCAGAGGCTGACAAGCATCAGAAGCAGTTCCTTGAAGGATGTGCTTACAAGTAAGGCTTTGAGATATGACAGAGTAGTCCTGGCTCTGCCACATCCTTGTTGGACAACTGTATGGTTTGAATCTAGAATATCCCTCAATGATTTGTGTGTTAAGGGACTGGTCCCCAGCTGGTGGTGCTACTGACTGGTGACTGGACCTTGTGGATGCTAAGCTCATTGATGGAAAATCCATTGATAATTCAAAGATGAATGGACTATTTGAGACAGATTCTTATTGGAGGAAGTATGTCACTGGGCATACCCTTGAAGGATATAGCTATCCTTGGTTTCTCTCTCCCTGATTCTTCATCCTGAGGTAGGCATCCTCTGCCACATATGCAAGTCGCCAACCTTTGAAACCCTGAGACTGACCAATCATGCTTTCCCGCTCTGAGCTATTTTCCTCAGGTATCCTGTTAGAAGAAGCTAACACATCTTAGCAGAGTGCTGATGTCCCCTAAGCCTGAGCAACCTCCTATTAGACAGTGTAACCAACTCTTGAGATTGCTACAGAAGGTCAGGAGGGCATGCAGACATGTTGAACACTGGGAACATCACTGGTGCACAGAAAGTATTTAACTGTTGGCCACTGTGTCTGACCTGACTGGAAAAGGACTAAGTTCTGGATGAGGCCCTTCTCAGACCTTGAAGTGCTGAGGATAGAGCCCAGGGCCTTGTGCATGCAAGCAAGAACTCTGCTAGTGAGCCACATGCCCCTCCTTGAGTCTATCAGAGATTTTTCTATTGTTTCAAATCAAGGCCTGAAATGTTGGAGAAAGATAGTGGGATGAGGGTGAAAAAAAGAGCTTGCAAATGAACAGAGCAAGCAAAAATAATGATTTTATGGGCTGTAAACACATTTCACTGTCAACCTAATTAAACTATAAAAGGATACTTTGGAGAAAACACTAGTGCTTAATGTTCTCTGTGGAAAGTTGGGAAATTAAGTACCACAGTGGCAGAGCAAGCCAGGCAGTAAGTCATCTACTCACAATGTAAATGAGATGCTGCAAACTCAATGAGGGCTCTCACAGATCCCCGGCACTTCAGAGTTCTCTGACTCTATCCAAGACCAGTTTTCTCTCTACCCCATGAATTGCTCCTACTGCCTTTGGACACAACAAACCACAGAAAAGATGACATACAGGGACCAACCAATGCACAGCTAAACATCACTGAGTTTCAGATGCCAACATAAGGCAGCTCAGAAGAGTCCTGTGCCCATCTTCCTGCACCCACCCCCACCTCCTGTCTACGATGCACAGGTCTTCATCTGTAGAATGCAATCATACCTCAGGTTCCATGTGCCTGGGGAACAGTGAAGTGGTGAGATATTTGTACAAAATCCTCATGTCATCTTGTTCTAATCCACTCCTGAAACATCAGGAAAACACTGGGTTACAGTTTGGAACTGGTCTTCTGACTTTCCTGCTCTATGGTAAAGCTTGTTTTTGTCTTTACAGTATATGAGGATGCTGAGTCAGGGATGTAGTTAAGATAGGACAGTGACTGCCTCCCATGCATGAAGCCCTGGGATCCATCCCCAGCACTGCATAAAAAACAAACAAAAGGGGCACACTGGTGCACACCTGTGATCCAGCACTCAGGAAGTAAAGGCAGAAAGATCAAAGGTCATCCTTTGCTACTTAGAGTTCAAGGCCAGGCCACACTGTGTGAGACCAGTCTCAGACAAAAAGACAAACAGAAGATCCCTGACCTCCAACTGGGAACTTCAGGAAGGAAACACAAACCAAGTGCTGACACTAGCACTGCCTGCTGACCTGCTAGTAGCTACTGCTCCACAGCTCTGTATTTTAAATAAGACTTGAAACAAAAACCCCAAAGGGGCCATCAAGAAGACTCAGAAAGTAAAGACATTTGCTGTGCATGCCTGGGTTAAATCCATACAGAGTTACTTGGGGTTGGAGTAGCCACATGACTCGTTCTAGTAGCACCCATCTTGGCATCCTGGACTACACAGTGAACACACATTCTGGAAAATACCAATATGCTATAGATACATAACTTGACCATAGGTATCAGAAATACATGTGGATTTTCCTTCAGGAAAATCATGTCATTTCAAATGAGGCAGAAATACGGGCAAGTGCTCGTAACTGGCAGACATCCACCTTTGAAGTGTTGTTTGTTATTGTTTTGGGAAAGGAGATAAACAAGGAAACCAAAAAGTCCTGGGAGAAGTGCATGAATGCCTCTTCCATTTCCTGTCATGTTAGAATGAGTCTGGCCTTTCTTGCAACAACTGCTGCCCCTTCCTCTAGATGCCTTCACTTGGAAGTACACCTGGTCTTCTCCTATACCACCCTCAATTCTCATGAGTCCTGACCATATCTAAAATGCAACAGAAGCTGGAAACATGACTCAGGAGTAAAGTGCTTGCCACACTATCATGAGGACCTGAATTTGGATCCCTAGCACCCATGTAAAACAGCTAAGTGTGAGTTGGTGGTGCACTATAATTCCAGTACTTGGGAGGCAGAGGCAGGTGGATTTCTGATTTTTGAGGCCAGCCTGGTCTGCAGAGTCAGTTCCAGGACAGCCAGATACACAGAGAAGCCTTTCTTGAGAGGGGGCGAGGAGCTAGGTGTCACAGTGCATGAATGCAATCCAAGTGCTAGAGAGGTGGAGACAGGAGCATCCAGGGCTCACTGGCCAGCCAGCCTAGTTTAATCAGGCAAAAGACCCATACACAAAAATAAAATAAAGATAAATGTTAAAAAATGAAAGTAAATACTCTAGGGGCCCTAGAGCAGAAAGAAATGCTCCGGGCAAAGAAGGGAAGAGTGGTTTTAAAACCTTTGCTGCTTGGACAGTAGCACTGACCCGAAGCAGTCTGATAGGTGGTGGAATTTCCAAATCTAACACATGGATGGTCACAAGTTATCTTTTGCAGAAGTAACTGAGATGATAAAGAGGAAGGAGAAAATAAAACCAAAAAACGGTTTTCCTTTTAAGACAAATGTAAGCACTGGGGATAAGGGCTGAGGCAGGAGGATCACAAGTTACATACCAGCTTGATAGTGCAACCCTATCTCAAAAAAAACAAAAAAAACCCACAAAAACAATGAAAACTGGAAACAAAATAAAACACCCACCAGGAACAGCAGGATGGCATGGCTCAGTGGGTAAAGGTACTTGCTATGCAAGCCTGATGACCAAAGTTTCAGCACCAGGATCCATATAAGACTGGAAGGAGAACCAACTCCACAGGCTGTCTGTCCTCTGACTTCCACTTCATGTGCCCACTCATGTATCAATCACACAATAAAAATCCCCCCAATTTCCTTCTCTAGCTTAAATCTCAGCAATTCATTTGTGCACACATGGTACTTGTCCTCTGTTAAATTGGCTTCTGTTTAATCTGTGTGCAGCTTTCCGTTGTCTTTACTTCAATGCTAAGTGGCCTCTCATCTGTCACCCCAACTGTCTCTGGTGGAGACACTAAGTTATTTGAGAACAGCTCCCTCCTCCCCTCCTCTCCCTCCCCCTCGTCCCTTCTTCCACTTTTTTTTTTTTCTTCACTTTTCATGTATGAGTGTCTGTGGTATGTCTGTGGGTACACAAGTGTAGGTGTGCATGGGAGTGTATGCACTTACATAAGGAGGTCCCAGGTTAACACTGGAAGTCATCCTCAATTGCTCTTCTACTTTATTCACTGAGGCAGGATCTCTCCTCAAACCCAGAGCTCACTAATACGGCTAAATCAGATAGCTAGCTTGCTCTGGAGATCCCTGTCTCTGCTTTCTGCTACCACACCCCCTGGTATTTATTTGGGTTCTGGAGATTTGAACTCTGATTTCAAGACTTGTACAACAAGGGCTTTAACCAGTGAGATATCTCTTCAGTCCTGGCTCTACTTGGTACTTTTAATTGTTTATTACCATAGCTTTGTTCCAAATAATCCTACTAATCTGACAATTCCTACAAAAAAATTTCCTGCTGGTGTCCATTTCCTGTGTGACAGTCAACAACACCAATTCCTGCTCTGTTTATTACTCTGATCTCATCTCTTATAGGCCAGGCCATAGGGCATTACCTACCAGATGAGTTGGTCGTTGTAGAGGAACGCGGTATATTTGACTACACTTAGGCTTTCTTCCATTCTGTTAATAAAGGACTGGATTTTCAAGTAAGTCATTTTATCCAATGGGAAGAAGCTGATTCCACCAAAAATATCAAGTAGGTCACATGACTGCAAATGTAGGGTCTGCAAATACTGTGGGGAAAATAAGACACAAGCTTAACAACAACACACTCAATACAGTGCTCCTCACTGGAAATAATCTCATGATAGGCTGCTAAGGTGTGGCACAGTCACACAGACAAACAGAGCAATAACAAGTCCAACAAGTAGTAAATCAAGAGTAACTGGATTCGAAATCAATACCAGTTTTGAAATATAAAAGTGTGTACTTCGTATGTTTCATCTCTTGGGATTAAGCTCTTTAAGAATCCATGTGATAGAACCATGGACACAGTGTCATTCTGAAGAACAACAGTCAGGACAACAGTTGACTTATAACAGGACGAAATAAGGACAAGAACAGGGATAGAGCCGGGCGTTGGTGGCGCACGCCTTTAATCCCAACACTTGGGATGCAGAGGCAGGCGGATCTCTGTGAGTTCGAGGCCAGCCTGGTCTCCAGAGCGAGTGCTAGGATAGGTTCCAAAGCTACACAGAGAAACCCTGTCTCGAAAAACAAAAAACAAAAAATGAAAAACAAACAAACAAACAAACAAACAAAAGAACAGGGATAGAGACAGATGGCACCAGAGTGACTTTTACATTATCATTAAAGTGAGAAACGCTTCAAGATGGCTCAGAGACTAAAGTGCTTGCTACACAAGCATGAGGACTATATTTCAAATCCCCAGCACCCACATAAAAAGCCAGGTAGGCACTTTGAATCCCAGCACTCGGGAGGCAGAGGCAGGCAGATCCTTGTGAGTTTGAGGCCAGCCTGGTCTATAGAGTGAGTTCCAGAACAGGCTCCAAAGTGACACAGAGAAATCCTGTCTCAAAAAAAAAAAAAAAAGCCAGGTGGGCATAGAGGCTGCCTGCAATCCCAGCTGAAGGAGGCAGAGACAGGGGATCCTGGAGCAAGCTGACCAGCTAGACTTTCTGAAATGGTGACCTCTGGGAGAGACCTTGACTCAATGTGTAAGATGGAAAGACTTGAGAAAGACATCTCAAATCAACCCCAGGTTGCACACATACAAATAATAATAAGTTAAATAGACAATCGGTATGACATGTGGTGGTTTGAATGAAAGGGGGCTCCAAAGGCTCAGGTATGTGAATGTTATGTCCTTAGCCGATGGGACAATTTTGAGAATGACTGGGAGGTGTGGCCTTGTTGTCGGAATTCTGTCACTGGGGTTGGGCCTTGAGGCTTCAAAACCCCAGCCACACCTAGTCATTTTTCTCTCTCTGCCTGCTGCTTACAAATCAGATGTAAGCTCTCATCTACTGCTCCAGTTCAATGCCTGCCAGCTGTTGCCATGCTTCCTGACATGATGGCCATGGGCTCACCCCCAGTTAGATACTTTCTTTTAGAAATTGCCTTGGTCATGGTGTCTCTTCATAGCAATAGAACAGTAACTAAAACAAGAGATATTTTAGGGAGAAAATAAACAAGAGTTATTACTTGAACATAAACTGAATTTTTTTTTTTTTTTTTTTTTTTTTGGTTTTTCAAGACAGGGTTTCTCTGTGTAGCTCTGGCTGTCCTGGCACTCGCTCTGGAGACCAGGCTGGCTTCGAACTCACAGAGATCCACCTGCCTCTGCCTCCCGAGTGCTGGGATTAAAGGTGTGCGCCACCAACGCCCGGCCATAAACTGAATTTGACAGAGCTTGGGGCAAGTGAGCAAAACCCAATGTACAATGAAAGAGATTGGTAACTCATCTAGAGGTATCATCACTTGGGACATATCACATTCATGTGACTGAATCTGTGTCACAGCTGTATTAGTCAGTGTTCTATTGCTATGAAGAAACACCATGACCATGGCAACTCTTAAAAAAGAAAACATTTAACTGGGGCTTACTTACAGTTTCAGAGGTTTAGTTCCCTGTCATCATGCTGGGAGATATGGCAGCATGCAGACATGGTGCTGGAGGAGGTGATATTCCTATATCTGGATCCACAGGCAGAAGGAAGAGAGCCTCTTGGACTGGCTTGGGCTTTTGAAACTCCAAAGCCCTTCCCAGTCACTTATGTCCTCCAACAAGGCCACTCCTACTCCAAGAAGGCCACACCTCCTAATCCTTTCAAATAGTGCCATTCCTTGACAACTAAGCATTCAAATCTATAAGCCTATGAGGGCCATTCTTGTTCAAACCACCACAACAGTCAGAGCCCTGATGGGGGATGTCCTGTATGCGGTGAATATATGTTTCTCTTATTAATGCTGATTAGCCATTAGCCAGGCAGGAAGTATAGGTGGGGCTTCCTAGGAGAATTGTGGGAGGAGGAAGGCAGAGAGAAGCCATGAGATGCCATGTAGCTACTGGGAAGATAGGACGCCAGGCATTCTCTGGTAAGATAAGGCCATGTAGAAATACATATATTAATAGTTATGGGGTTAATAATTAAGAGAGAGCTAGCCAGTAAGAAGCCTGAGCCATCAGCCAAACACTTTATAATTAATATAAGCCTGTGTGTGTTTATTTGGGACTAAAGGGCTGCAGGACCTGGCAAGTCAGAAACTCCGTATACAGAGCCCTTTTTCTTGAGATAGTACATGAGGTCTGTTAGGACAACAGAACCAACACAAGCTGGGTGTGACAACTCACATTTCTGATCCCAGCACTTTGGGATGCTGAGACAGGAGGATTCACTGTACTGTGAATCTGAGGTCGGTATAGACTAACCAGTAAGATGCCAGTAAGATGCCTAAAAAGAAAAAAGAAAGAAAGAAGAAAGAAAGAAAGAAAGAAAGAAAGAAAGAAAGAAAGAAAGGGAAAGAAGGAAGGAAGGAAGGAAGGAAGGAAGGAAGGAAGGGGAAGGAAAGGAGAAGGGGGAGGGGGAAAAGGGGAAGGGAGAGAGAGAGAGAAAGAGAGTGTGTGTGTGTGAGAAATAAAGCTGCAACTTTGGTAATTCTTCTAATTTTTCTAATCTGTGAGTGTTCCACCCCACACACAGATGCAGGTGGAACAAGATTAAGCTGAGACATGTCTTGGAGCAGCTCCAGGAACCCTGGATGGAGGCAGGATACTCTGTTCCAACAGCCTGGATTACAGGCCTGAGGAGCACCTCACTGCTCTGGATTTGCCATAACATTTTTCAGGTTCTTTGCCACATCTAAGGTCTATCTGGGCTTTACATCTAAAGATACAAATTTGGAGCCTGGTAAGATGGCTCAGTGGTGAAGAGCCCTTGTAGAGGAGTGGAGATTAGTTCCCAGCACCCACAGAAGTTGGCTCACAACTGCCTGAAATTCCAGCTGCAAGGAATTGGACATCCTCTTCTGGCCTCTATGAGCACTACACTCACCTGCACATACCCACACGCAGACATTCTAAGATATAAACAAGAGATTGGGCCTGGAAATAAGGCCCAGTGGTTAAGAGCACTGGCTACTCTCCCAGAGGACCTAAGTTCAATTCCCAGCACCCACAAAGCAGCTCACACCTGTCTATAACTCCTCCAGTCCCAGGGCATTTGGCTCCCTCACACAGACATACATGCAGGCAAAACACCAATGCACTGTATGTATGTATGTATGTATGTATGTATGTATCTTTAAAAAAAAAAAATTCCTCTATATTGCTCCATAATCCCTTTGGTATTGGAGATCAACAAAGGTTCTCATCCAAACCAGCCAAGCGCTCAGCCACTGGTTCATATCGCCAGCTGCACTGTTTGCATATTATTAAAGTTATAGATAAAAGCCAGGCAGTGGTGGTGGCACTCACCTTTAATCCCAACATTTGGGAGGCAAAGACAGGTGAATTCGAGGCTAACCTGGTCTACAAAGTGAGTTCCAGCTATGCAGAAACCCTGTCTCCAAAAACAAAACAGACAGACAAAAAGCTATAAATAAGATTCAGGACACTTACCCGATGGAAGAACTTCTGTAATCTTTCTTTTAGAAGCTTGACACCTCCATCTTCCATGGCTTTCAGAAACGTCCCATTAAAAAGCTAATGGTATAAAACAGTGTGGAAAATAAAGTCAATGTCCTGCAAGACTCAATGTCTCAGGTTAACAGGCTCTTCTTTTTTACCTTATAACTAGGTTCATTAACACACTCAGGTCCTCTTTTTTTTTTTTTTTTTTTTGGTTTTTCGAGACAGGGTTTCTCTGTGTAGCTTTGGAGCCAGGCTGGCCTTGAACTCACAAAGATCCGCCCACTCAGGTCCTCTTAAGCATACACAGTATTTGTGAGAAAGCCCAAATTATAAATAACTTACAAAAAAAAATACAAAAAAAAGTACACTAAATGATAAACATAGTCATTTTCTTAAGGCTGCTTAAATATTCTGCCCATCTTTTTGCTTATCTGTTTTTGAGACTTCAGTACTTCTGTTGTCCAGGAGATCTCAAAAAGTTATCCTCCAATCTCAGTTACCCAAACAGTTGGAACTATAGACCTGACCTGAACTCAGGTCCTCTGCAAGAACAACACAGGCTCTTAACCAGTGAGTCATCTTTCTAATCCCATAAATAAATTAAAAACTAAAATAAAAAAAAGTTTTTTAAGGATGGGGATGTAGCTAAGTGGTAGGGCATTTGCCTGGGTTCAATCCCCAGCATTCCAAAAGAACAGAGAATTTTTAGAGCCAGATGTGGCAGCATACATCTGTAATCCCTGCACTCAGCATACTGAGGCAGATGATTGTGAGTTTGAGGTCAGCCTGGACTATGTAGAGAAACCTTGACTCAGAAAGCAAAACAAACCAAAATTGTTTGTAAACATTCCCAAACCTATTTTCAAATGAAGGGGACAGATCATAATTTTAAAGAGAATGTCAGCCATGTCAGATCCTGCATGTACTTCACCAGTATAGCCAGATAAGTATAGGTCTCACCCTCATCAGAGAAACAGCAGAGACAGAGACCATTACCAAGAAAACCTTGACTGATTAAAATGCAGAAAAGAAGCAATTCTGTGGTGCCTGGCCCCAAATGACACAACTACAACACAATTCCTGTACCTAAGGCTCAGAGATCACAGAAGAGGAGGCAGAAAGACTGTAAGAGCCAGAGGAACAGGAAGCTTGCTGTGAGATTTCATCTCCTAGAAATGTCAGAGAAGCTGGGGAGTGGTGCACGCCTTTAATCCTGGCACTGGGAGGCAGAGGCAGGTGGAACTCTGTGAGTTTGAGGTCAGCCTGGTCTACAGAGAAAGTTCCAGGACAGCCAGGGCTGTTGCACAGAGAAACCCTGTTGAGAGAGAGCCCAACACACACACTCACAACACACACACACACACACACACACACACACACACACACACACACACACACACACACACACACACACGATTAAGGAGAAAGAGACCATGAGAGAATGGGGGGGAGATAATGTGGGAGGGACTGGAGGGAGGAAAGAAAATATTATAATTATATTTTAATTTCTAAAAACTTATTTTAAAACAGTCTGTTTGCAATGCCTGTCCTTTCACAGAGGGCAGTGCAGATGTGGAAGCCACGCTTACCTTATACATGCTATAGCACTGCTGCAGCACTGAACTGTACACCTTGTCCTAAGAACAAGAAAACAGCATCTCACTGGATCCAGAGACAGCAACAGGACAACTCTTGGCAAATCACATGATTACTATAAACTTGGTCCTACAGTGGTTGTATGCTAAAATAACAGGTAATTAAATTCAAATTTACAAACCAATAAACCACTTTTAGAAGGGCTTCATACACAGGTGACCGGTGGACAGTATTAACGAGATAGGGCACTTATGAATTTTTAGAAGATTATGTTAAAGTAAGCAATAAACATAAAAACTTTCCTGTGAACTCCAAGAAGGCTTTTAAAAGCTACCTCGTTTAAGTATAAGTTACTCAACATACCCAGGAATACATTTTCCTAAAAGCATGAGAACAGAAACTGCACATTACCAACAGTTCCTCCTCTTGGTATTCCACAATTGGCTTGCCATCTTTACTTTGCTTTTCGATGATAGGATTCCGAACAACCTATGAAATTTGAAAAACTGAAATTATATAATGATACAATTGTATGTTTTAAACTTTTTCTTAATTTTAAAAATCTGAGGCTGGGAATATAGCTTAGTGGTAGAATGTTTGCCTGGCATATGTTTGGGTTCTAGCTCCAGCAATAAAATACAGATAAACAAGGGCCAGAAAGATGGCTCAGCAGGTAAAGGCACTTGTCTACAAGGCTTATGACACTGGAATTCAATCCCCAGGACCAACATGGTGGAAGGAGAGAACACACACTCTCAAGTTGCCTTCTTACTTCCACACGTGTGCTATGGCACACCTCTCCCTGCCAAAATAAATAAATACATATAATAAAATAATACATATAAATAAAATAATTGATAGGGCTGGGGGTCTGACATAGGGCTTAAGTCTGATCCCTGGCACCCATGTAAAAGTGGAGCCTTCTTAGCACTCAGAAGGCAGAGTCAGGTGGATGTCTATGAATTAGAGGCCAGCCTGGTCTACAGAGAGAGTTCAAAGTCAGTCAGGGCTACACAGTAAGATCCTGCCTCTAGGTAAGTAAATAAGTGGGATATGGTGGCACAATCCTAGCATTAGGGAGGCAGAGACAGATGGATTCCTAGAGCTTACTGGCCAACTAGATTAGCATAATTGGCAAGCCTTGGATCTTTGAAAGAGAACTTGCTGAGAAAACCAGGTGAGCTCCTGAGGAATGGCACCCAAGGTTGACATGAGCACCCATAAATACACACATGCTAGGCAGTGGTAGTGCACGCCTTTAATTCCAGCACTCGGGAGGCAGAGACAGTCAAATCTCTGTGAGTTAAGAGCTTCAGGACTGTTAGACAGAAAAACCCTGTCTCCTCAGCCACCCCACCCCTCCCAAAAAAAACAAACCACACATGCTCACCACCACTCCCACAAATACACATAATTACTGAACATGTTATGCCACTAGACATAAAATTACTTTTGTTTGTTTATGGTTTCTATTCTAGAACCCAGCAGGGGCCTATGCCTGCTAGGCAAGCACTCTACTACTGAACTCCATCTGTAGACACAAAGTTTCTTTCTTTCTTTTTTCTTTTTCTTTTCTTCTTTTTTTTTGAAACAGTGTTTCTCTGTGTAGCCCTGGATGTCCAGGAACTCACTCTGTAGACCAGGGAAGCCTCCAACTCAGGAGTTCTGTGAGCCTCTGCCTCCTAAATGCTGGGACTAAACAGCCCTAATCTGAAAAGAAACTTTGATTTTTTTTTAAATTGCAAACAATTTTACTGTGATTTCTAAGGATACAAATCCTCAGAACTTTACATTAATGTGTATATAAATACCATGATCATCCAGAAATTTTCTTCTGGTTCATTGAAGAACTGTCTATTCTTCTGTGTATGTAAAGATTTTGCAGGTTTTGATGGGCTAAAAGTCCTAGGGGAAAAAAGTTTTGAAAACATGGTTAGAACAACTCTAGTGTAAATGGAAAGAATTCACCAATCTCACAAACAAACACATGTAAAGTGGTACCTTGTAAACTGTACAATTGCTTCACATAATCCAACATTTCTAATTTTTTCATTCTTTTCTACTTCATTTGGATGATAAAACAAAATTTTATTTTCTTCCTATGGCAGGAAGAAACAGAAACAAAACATTGTCAGCATTTGTTCATCTACAGCTGAGTTTAACATCCACCTTTCCTATCATAGAGACAAAACCTAAAAATGTCTTTAGAAAACCCAGAATTACTTTATTGTTGTTTTGTAAATACTGTAACCCATCAGTCTTACAATTGTGATATTCCCCAAATTAAACGTCATCAGTAGTACAAGATGAGGTTAATGAAAATCTCAGATTTCTTTCCATGCGACAACAACCCTCTGAAAGAAGATGCATGTATGCACGTATGCAAGAATACAGATGGGCAAATTAAACCAAGTCGGCTCATGAGCACTTGGACTGGCAGCCTCTAAATAGGACTGTGGTGTTTGCTTGCAACAAAACAACCTCAGGACATCCTTTGAGGAAGTCACCACCCTCAACTCGGAGCAAACAAAAACTTTGAGTGGGCATAAAAAGATTAACTTTCTGAGGCTCCCACAAGTAAGTTTGTTTGTTTAGTTTGAGGTTTCTTTGTTTTTTCCCTCTTTAGGGAGCCACGGTTCACCAATCTGGTTCCACCTCTGCAATCGAAGACTTTCAAGAGAGAAGACAAGTTCAATCTTAGTGGCCCAGAATTGACTCAAAGGGAAAGACATTCAAGCCGGGCGGAGGGATTAGCCTGACGGACCTTTCCTGACAGGACCGGCCCGCGTTGTCAAGTGCCGGCCACATCCCACCCAGCGCTCCACCAGGCACGAGCGGCTCTGTCAGACCGGGGGAGGCAGAGGAGCCGCCTCCCGGACGCCCCCTGCAGCCCCTGAGCACTGCCGCCGGCCGCCGGTCCCCCGACTCTGCGAGCCCTCCGCGTACCTCTCCCTCGCGCGGCCCGAAGCGTGGGTTGTAGATGAAGAAGCTCAACAGCGCGGGCGGGAACTGCTTTTCTTGGGCCGCCCAAGTACCCGTCCCGGCCGCCGCTGCAGCCATTCCGGCCCGGCCCCCACGTCGGGAGCCTCCCCTCCGCCCGCCCGCTCAGAGACAGCAGCCTTAGGGAACGCCGCACTTCCGCCTCCCTCCCGTCGGCCCGGAAGACGTCGCTACTGACCCAGAAGCAGAACCTGCAGCGCCCTGTCCATCTCTGGCAAGTCCGGGTAGACCCGTTTCCCGCGTATTCCACGGGCTGTGGTGCGTCTTATTTTATTGGCTCTTGAATACCTGTCATGGTTAAAGGCGAAGACCATGAATTTCAAGAGAAATGTAACAATGGATGGGTTTTTTTGTTTGTTTGTTTATTTAAGACAGCGTTTCACTATGTAGCCGAGCTTGGCCTGGAACTTGTTGTGTAGACGAGACTGACCTCGAACTCAGTGATCCTCTTGCCTCTTCCTCCCGAGTGCTGGCATTAAAAGGTGTGCGCCGTGGATACAGTATTTTTGAAGTGTGAAGAAGCGTTTAGCAGGGCATATGCATGTGTCTTGAAGTTTGCCCCATTTTCATCTGTTATTTTATACATCTATACACAGAACAACGTGTTGAAGTCACTTCTGCCCTTCAGCACCACATAAACTGGGTGTGGTGGTGCATGCCTGTAATCCAGCACTGATAAGGAGAAGGTAGCAGGATCAAAAGGCACCTCTATTTATATTAGTTGTAAGCAATGGGCTAATAAAGGCAAAAATGTCAAAAATCTACCTTACCATAGAATTGGAGAGAAGGCACTTGCTTTTACAGAGGCCCTGGGTTCAGTTCCAAGCACCCCCATCAGGCAACTCATAACCGCCTGTAACTCCAGCTCCAGGGGGATCTGATGCCCTCTTCTGGCCTCCATGGGTACCAGCACGAATGTAGTACACATATACATAAAAAGTAAATAAATAAATCCTTTAAAAAAAATCTACCCTACAACTGACAAAATAAAGCTGATTCTTTTGAACCAAGTGAAAACATGTAAATCTATAGTCGTCTTGGTGAATAAATTAGCAGGTCAAGTGGAAACTATCCTGTCGATTCCGATTTCATCAGTCTTCTTATGTGTTTGTGAAGTAATCCCATACCCTAACAGTTGCAGAGGAGATACGGGATAGGTTTTTGCTTGAAATTGGATTCGTGAGCACTCATTTACACAACACTGAACTGTAGTTGCTACACAGAGCTTTGTAAATAAGCAAATCGCAAGTATGTCTCATGCTCGCCTCATTTTCATTTTGATACAGAAAGAACTACTTTGAAAACCTATAGGTTAGCTAGGCATGATGGCACAGGCCAATCATCTTGCATTTGGAATGTGGAAACTATAGGCTAGCCTATGCTACATTGTGAGACCCTGTCTCAAAAAAGATTTTGTTGTTGTTGCTTTAAATAAGCAAAACAGGGTCTCGAATAGCACAGCCTGGCCTCCAAATCACCATGTAGTCAAGAATGGCCTTGAATTCTTGATCCTCTTGTTTTCACCTACGAAGTTCTGTTTTGTTTTGAATTTTATGTGTATTATTGTTTTGCCATGAGATGTTTCAGGACCCCTGAAACTGGAGCTACAGACAGTTGTGAGCTGCCATGTGGGTGCTGGGAATTGAACCCAGTCATCTGGAAGAGCAGCCAGTGCTCTTAACCGCTGAGCCATCTCTCCAGCCCCACCTTCCAAATTCTGGGATTGCCACAGTGCACACCAGGCTCAGTAATTCTGAGTCTTAACTGTTAAACCATTCACAAAGCTGGCTTTGATGTCACACCGATTAAATCCCAAACTACTCACCAAACTACAAGCCAAGATTGTAGTTAGATTTAAAAAAGTAGTTCAAATTAAAGCCACTGTTGCAGCCTTATTTTATAAGCAAGCAAGAAAAAAAAAAAGAACAAGACACTTAGTTTTTCAGATGGGGGGGGAGGAAAGCCAAAACAGCTTCAAAATGAGTCTGTTGTGTTGAGCTATCATAGCAAGCACCCCAAGCTTTACACCCCAGTTCAGCTGCTCTGCCTCCCAATGCTTGGTTGTATTTAAATCTCGCTTATAGCAATCTCATACCCACCAGAGCGGAAAGCAAATGTGCTTTAACATTTTTTTTATTGGCGGGACTGGGCACTGTGCCACAGCATGATTGCAGAGGTCAGAGGATAACTCTCAGGAGTAAATCTCTCTCCTTCCAATGTTTGTTTCCTAGAGGTCAAACTCAGGTCATCAGGCTTGGTGGCAAGTGTCTTTTCTGGCTGAGAAAAGGCATAGCCCTAGTTGGTCTCAAGCACCATACATAGCCAACACTAGTCTTGAATGCCTGATCCTATTGCCTCCATCTCCTGAACACTGGGATTACAGATGTACACCACTGTGTCTGGCTCATGTAAGGTTGATTTTATGCTGGCTAAAATCTCTCTGAAAATATTAATTTCAGAGTTAGCTAGAGTGCTGAGAATAAAATTCCCAGCAGGGCAGTAATACTTATTTGCAACACTTACATGTTTTAAAACCAGATTCAAACAAACAAACAAACAAAAAAACAAACAAACAAAAACAGTTCTCCTGTCTCCTCATGTACAATGCCAATATGGCTTACTCAGTTTTTGAGGGCATTTGAGATCTTTGGACAAACCCTTGGTCTCTGCTTGCTTTGGTCCCACTACCTTGCTGAAGAAAAACCAAGAGCAAAACCACTTGTTGAAGCTGGATATGGCGGTGCATATCTTTAATCCCTTCCACCTCTGAGGACGTAGAGGAAGGTGGATCTTTATGAGGGTAAAGCCAGCATGGTCTCTCATAGGGAGCTCCAGACTAGCCAAGGCTACATTTTTAAATCCTATTGCAAAATAAAACAAGATTAGCATTGTCGGCTTGGCAGGACTTCAAATCACCATGGTAACAAAGCTCTGGGCAAGTCTGTGAGGAATTATCTAGATTTAGGTTAATTGAAGTGGGAAGATCCACCATAAATGGGGTGGCCCCATTCCCTGGGCTGGGGTCCTGAACCAAAGACAAAGGTGAAAGTGAGCCGAGCACCAGCATGCATTTCTCTTTGCTTCCCCACCAAAGATGTGATGTGACCAGCCGCCTCATTCTCCGGCCACCATGATGGACTGTGACTTCCAACTGTGAGCCACAGTAACCTTTCCTTCTTTCCTTACGTTGCTTTTGTCAGACATTTTGTCATAGCATGGAGACAAGTAACTAATACACCCATACATCAGCCAATGATGAGAAATGATTTTATTGGATGATTTTTTAAGGCATTGCCTGCCAGGGGGAACTTACAGAACTCATCAGGACCTACCCACCACCACCAAAGAAAGAAGAGCCACAGATCATTGCATTTCTTCAAATAAGGAGCACATTGCAGAAGTGCTTCAGGGGGACTCAGGAAATTAGTTCCAGATAGGTTGGGGAGTCTCCTGGTCCCAGGGCTTTGGAGACCTTCTGGCAGAATTCCCCTTCCACTCCTTCTTCCATAGACTTGGACTTTAAGAATGCACCATTTCCTGGAATTCTAGAATGGAAGAGGAAAGAGCAGACTCAGTGTTTTGCAGGTGTGCTGTTCCCCAGAGAATTCTGAAGAGAGGGAAAAAGATGAAATAAATTCTCCGAGAAGCATGGCCCCACTCAGCACACGCCTGGAAGACATTGAGCATCAGTGAGCATGAGGGGAGTTTGCAGCATCCCATCCAGCCTTCTGCATTACTTTTTAGGTAGGGTTTCCCCTAAGCTCCAGTTGGTCTCAAATTGATTATCCTCCTGCCTCAGTCCCCGAAGTGCTGGTATTGCAGGTATTTGCCAAATGCCTAGCTTTCTGGCCGTAATTTTTTGAGATGTTCTAATATAGACTACTGGTATCAAACTTTCTACATAGCCAAGGATGATCTTGAACTCCTGCCTTGTTCCCCTCCTGCCTCCACATCCCAGGTGTGGGATTGCAAGCCTGTGCAACAACATGCACTGTTTTCTCTGCATAGGCTATGTGTATACATGTACACATATATGTGCAAGTGTGTGGGATGTGTATGTGCGTGTGTGTGTGTGTGTGTGTGTGTGTGTGTGTGTGTGTGTGTGTGTGTGTGTGTGTGTGTGTGTGCCTGTGTACCAGTGTACATGTGTATACATGGGTGGAAGCCAACAGTTGACATCAGGAGTCTTCCTCAGTTGCTCTCCACCTTATGTATTGACATAGGGTCTCTCACCTGAACCTAGAACTCACTGATCCATCTACTCTAGCTTGCCAAGGATCCAAGGATCCCCTGTCTTCACTTCTCAAGTGAGGCCTGAGGTTGCAGGTGAGCCACCTGGATCTCCAAGTATTTACATTTGAGTTCCCAGAATTTGAGCTTTAGTCCCTACACTTGCATGGCAGATGCTTTAGACCTGCTGAGCCATCTCCCAGCCCCATGCAAGTCGCATTTAACAAATATCTTCATATCTACAGCCCTTTGGGTTAAACCTCAACTTAGTCATCTTTCTCCAGCAATGAAGGAATTTGGTATAATTGTTCACTGTAAACATGCAGTGTGTTGTTTGGTTCATTTCAGATAAACACGAGAGGTTTTCCTTCACGGTTTTGTGGCTATATGATTCAACCGGGTAGACCTTTAAACAGATTTTCCTCCACTGAGCCCTAACCTTAGCTTTCCTCCAACGTTTATATTACTGAAAGAAAGATACTTAAGATCTGATAGTCTTTTGTGTGTGAAAGAATGGTGTGTGCATGCATGTGTATGTGCATGTGGATGCCGGGTGTCCTGCTCTATCACGCTCCACCTTATTCCCTTGAGACGGGGTCTCTCACTGAACCTGGAGCTGGACTCAAAGACAGCAAGCCAAAATTATTCCCCTATCTCCACTTCAGACAGCACTGGAGTTACAAGTTTGTTTGTAGCCAGGCCTAGCTTTTTACATGGGTGTTGGGGTTCAATCGCAGGTCCTCATGTCTACACAAAGCATTCTTACCTATCTAGCATCTCTCAAACTAATAAACTGTGGCTGGTGCAGTGGAATTGAAAATGGAGACTTGCTTTTTATTGGCTGGTTCAACTTCTATCTCTGTAGAATCTTTCAGGGTTGTGGCTTTTTGTAAATTAGCATTTTAAATCTGA